AATGCACCATTGAGGTTGTCTAGCATGCAATAGCGATAGGGCGACTCTGAATCCAACTCGTAGCGCCCAATGGTTGGCTATACTTGCCTGTGCACGTGTCTATCAGGACATCTAACCTGAACGATCATCGTTTGTCTTGTGTGCAACGTTTGAGAAGCTTCTATAACGCAGTAAAGTTGCTACCCATAATGCATCTGCACCACGTGGAGACTAGAGGACCCCGTTATGGTAGGCGTAATGTTTACTTTCATTTTTAGGCGCAGCTTCGGCCGCTTGACGCTTGCCATTGTTCTGCTATCTTTTTTAAAACGTCTTCCATTCGTTTCCAATTTATTGCATGTACGCCGTGAGGCACACGCCATTATAGTGCAACAAGCGCATATTTATTGTCGTGAAACCACCTTTAAATTGCTCTCCTTTTTCTCATTTGGCGTACCCTGAATGTGGTCTTATTCTATTTAAGGCATGTGGTCGGGTCTTTTCCCCCGTATCATAATGATCGGTACATTGACGGCGCTACAATGGTTCATCTACGATGGATTCAAAGTAATGATGCGTCTTCCTCGTCCTCCACCACCAAGTATGCCGGAATCACTGAAGGCCAAGCTGGAGAAACAACAACATTAGTGCAATTTCCCTTGTATTTTGTTGGTTTTAGCCAGAAGTCATTTTGTTGCGTTCATATGTGATGGCCAACTGCCAGCATTCGCTTACAGAATGTACAAACCTAGAATTTTTATAGTTCCATCTTCTCCGTCAATTACAGCAGTGTTCAGGGAGTCTGCCTCTTTTTCCAATTTTCTGGGCGTTGCAGCGCTCAAGCTATTTAATTGTTCTCGCCTGCACGTATTCTTGGGAGAAATCAGATGAGATTGAATTTGGGAGTCGATTTGTGTTATATAGCTGTTTTGAACCTGCCGTTTCTGTCCTAAGATTGACTCTTAACGGAGGAGCCGATAATTATCAGAGAGGACTAGGGGTGGTAGATAAAATAAACAAACATGATGGGAATGACAGATAAGTACGAACCTTCAGGGCCGCCTTTACATTA